ATATTTAATTTCATGCAAGAAATGCCCCAAACAATATGTAGGAGAAACTAAGAATAATTTACGAACTCGCTTTAATGCTCATAGGTCAGACATCAAATTAAAGAAAGACAAGCCTGTTTCTAATCATTTCAACCTCGACGACCATTCAATAGACGATCTCACCCTAATCCCAATTGAGCGTATAGAAATTGACTTGCCCGAAGATGAAACTACCAAATTCCGTCAATCTAGGGAGGCCCATTGGATTGAGACATTGAATACAGCAAGACCTATTGGACTAAATATTCATCATAATGTAGGCATAGCACCCTTTGTTGTCCCGTTTAATACAACCAGCAATCGAGCAAGCAAGATAGTTCATGCCCACTATAAGAGCCTTCAAGAGAAATTCCCCCATGTCTATAAGCAGAAAATGATAGTTGCATATTCAAAAAATAAGAACTTAAATGATAATATTGTTCATAGTTAACTAAAAACAATCAGTACATAACAGATACTATACTTCTCGCCCATCGGGCGAGTTATTTTTTCTAATTTCAGATCAGAATAAGAACAGAAGAAAACCCAATATCAAGACCCTTAATCCTAATTTCTAAATAAAGTGTCTGCTCCACCCTAGGCCTGTACATTTGGGAGAATCAAACCCTCCCTTCCCCGAAATCTAGTTTTGTTGTTGTTCGATTTTGCAGCCTAGAATAAAGTTTAGTTAGAGTCCACTTGTTATAATTACGTTAGTAAACGTAACACAGTATATGTTATTGATGTTTTCGACCAGATTTAATCATATCCTCAAGTAAACATTCAGTCATTGGTATTCCTTGCAATACTTGTTCTTTTGACCTTTGCCAAATAGCTGGGGCTGATGCTATACCAAATATAAGTCGGTTGTAAGATTGACATCTAAATGTTTCACCTTCACCTGTAATGACGTACAATAATAGATTTTTAGCCTTACTATCATTTACTTCTACTGTGACATCCATTTTAACAAAAGGTTTTATTTTCTGTCCTGTATAAGTTTTTAAGGTAACTGACGTTTCATCTAATTGAGCGTCTGGAAAATATTGTCTATATTCTCTTTCTGAACATATAGTAACAGCTGCACCAGTATCAAGCTCCATTTTGATATTAACTCCATTTACTTTAGGCTCTATCCATAAGACATCAGGATTTTCTCTGTCGACTTTATTGATATAAGCTAAATCAATTTCTATGTCTGTATCTTCTGATTCATAACTATTGTCCAATGAATGAATACATTTATTCTTACTATAGTGATTATGTTTCTTTTGCTTTACTTGTTCCGAATTTCTGCATGCTCTTGCAATGTGACCCTTTTTACCTCATTTTAGACAAGTTTCATCTTTAAATCTGCATTCATCTTCTCTGTGACCAGGCCTTATACGCCTTTCATATTTTAGGATTTTCGACTTTTCACCTGCCTGCTTTTTATATGCCCACATGAATATGTGGTCGTATATTGTCGTCGCCCCGGTCCGTCGGTCCGTCCGTCAACATTTCTTGTGAGCACTATAGAGACTACAGTTTTTATCTGATTTTGATAAAATTTGGTGTGATGCTTTAGATTGATAAGATCTCGGTCAAGTTCGAATTTGACATATTTTCGATGAACGGTTTTTGAGTTATTGCCCTTGACTTTGTTAAAACGCGTCGAAATTTGTTAAAAATAGTTCGTGAGCAGGATTGAAGCTACAGTTTTCAACCGATTCTGATGAAACTTGGTGTGATCTTTGGAATTCATAAGATCTCGGACAAGTTCTAACTTGTCGCATTTTCGATGAACGGTTTTTGAGTTATTGCCCTTGACTTTGTTAAAACGCGTCGAAATTTGTTAAAAATAGTTCGTGAGCAGGATTGAAGCTACAATTTTCAACCGATTCTGATGAAACTTGGATGTGATCATTGGAATTGATAAGATCTCGGACAAGTTCTAACTTGACGCATTTTCGAAGAACGGTTTTTGAGTTATTGCCCTTGACTTTGTTAAAACGCGTCGAAATTTGTTAAAAATAGTTCGTGAGCAGGATTGAAGCTACAGTTTTCAACCGATTCTGATGAAACTTGGTGTAATCATTGGAATTGATAAGATCTCGGACAAGTTCTAACTTGACGCATTTTCGATGAACGGTTTTTGAGTTATTGCCCTTGACTTTGTAAAAACACGTCAAAATTTGTTAAAAATATTTTGTGAGCAGGATTGAAGCTACAGTTTTCATCCGATTCTGATGAAACTTGGTGTGATCATTGGAATTGATAAGATCTCGCACAAGTTCTGACTTGACGCATTTTCGATGAACGGTTTTTGAGTTATTGCCCTTGACTTTGTTAAAACGTGTGGAAATATGTTAAAAATAGTTCGTGAGCAGGATTGAAGCTACAGTTTTCAACCGATTCTGATGAAACTTGGTGTGATCATTGGAATTGATAAGATCTCGCACAAGTTCTGACTTGACGCATTTTCGATGAACGGTTTTTGAGTTATTGCCCTTGACTTTGTTAAAACGTGTGGAAATATGTTAAAAATAGTTCGTGAGCAGGATTGACGCTACAGTTTTCAACCGATTCTGATGAAACTTGGTGTGATCATTGGAATTGATAAGATCTCGGACAAGTTCTAACTTGACGTATTTCTGATGAACGGTTTTTGAGTTATTACCCTTGACTTAGTTACAACGTGTTGAAATTTGTTAAAAATAGTTTGTGAGCAGGATTGACGCTACAGTTTTCAACCGATTCTGGTGAAACTTGGTGTGATGCTTTAGATTGACAAGATCTCGGTCAAGTTCGAATTTGACATTTTCGATGAACGGTGTTTGAGTTATTGCCCTTGACTTTGTAAAAACGCATCAATATTTGTTAAAAATAGTTCGGGAGCAGGATTGACGATACAGTTTTCAACCGATTCTGATGAAACTTGGTGTTTGATATTGATTTTAAAAATTTTATTATTCAGCATAAATAATTTCTTCAATATGAGAAAATTCGTACTTTAGTCACTAAAGATTGTTTTATTAAATCTGACAGCTGCCAGCGTGCGTATGTTACCAAGCAACGCAAGCTATCTTTATAAAATTTATTAAGTTTGTTAACCTTTTCTTCCTTAGACCCTCGCATTTCCAAAGTGTATTTGGCAGCTGTGGCAACTGATATTTCTAAGACTCTGGTATGATTTATGTTGTCTTCCGTCAAGAGTCTTTTCTGAATGGCTTCACTCCAATAGATATTAGAAGCACGCCTAGGGTACATAATATGTTCCTATGTTGCAGGTGCGACATGTAAAGTAAAGTTTACACTAGCGTTTTCTTTACGTTTACCGATGACCAAGCCAGTGTAAATGGGTTTGTCTCGAGGGCCTTGCCTGAATGCGTCAGTTGTGTCGCTCATATGTCTCTTTCTCTCCCTCTAATCGGTCTTGAGCCGAACATAACGATCCGAACCGCAAAACGAAACCCAAAATCCAAACAATATATTGGCAAAACGTTGGAAGTATGGTGCTGTATCTGTTCAAAATAGGATTCAAATCAGATTATAAAAATTCTTTAAATCACGTGGTCAATTTTTAGGTACAAATGACTAATCTTATAAAATCGAAGTTATTTTACGAATATCTCTTATCTTATTTACTTTTTTCAATGTTAGTCTTTCTAGAACATAATTTAGACCGTAGACTTTGTAGAACGCAGAACTCGCATTGTAATCTTTGGAATCCAGTGGGGAACACTGGATCGTATCAGCTGGATCGTAATCTTTGGAACTCCTCCATCGGATCGTGTAAGCTTCATCGTAATCTTCGGATCGTCTTTTCGTTCCTTGAATATTACGGAAATTAAATTAGATCACGTGACATGTTCTGCATATCATTATCATTCGTGATTCTAATAAAAATAAACTACCCCATGGAAAGATAACTCTGTACAGTATTTTTTTCAACAGACTACAATTACTTAAGGATTTATTTTTTTTATTATATGAAGATGATATAAATATCGAATTTGGTGATGATCCTATAACTATTTCTTAGATATAAAAAATATAGTAGAACTCTACAGGCTAAAATTACTTATGGAATGATTGATTTTTTTTATTAATATTATTGTTGGTGATGATTCAATATTTTTGGTCCGAATTTATTGTGTCGACTAAGCGCATTCATTTTATAAGCAATATAATCCAACTGATACTCACTGTACAGATCTTTGTGGAATGTCTTTATTTCATTGTGTGTTTCAATATCATAATGAAGATGATCTCTATCAAATATAAATTCTAACTGATCTTAACTAATTGACTTTCTACCTAAGAAATGACCACTTGATTTTAGAATGTATACAATATTATTATATTGTATGGGAATTGGATCCTATTTGAACCAGATAAAGCGCCATACAGGCCAAGTAATATATCCAGAGGGGCAGTGATGTAAGGTGTTTATTTGCAGTAATAGAATTGGTCGGTTGTCACAATTTTTTCAGGGAGCAAAAATTAGATATATACAATGCAATGTCAATCATTAATTAAATTATTATCTCAAACCAACAATGAAATTCTAGAAATACAAAACGATTTCAAAATAAATGCCAATGCCAAATTTAAAGTTAAGATAGCTTGCCAGACAATAACTCAAAAACCGTTCATCAAAAAAAAAATCTTCAAATTCGAACTTGTCCAATATCTCATCAATATATATGATCACACCATATCTGATTTAAATCGGATGAAAACTATTGTCTTACGAGCAAAATTTTAACGCGTTTCGACTTTGTCATGGAGAAAGCCGTTCATCAAAAAATTCTTAAATTCGAACTTGTCCAAGATGTCATCAATATATATGATCAAAACAAATTTCATTAAAATCAGATGAAAATTGTAGCTTTTCTTTCGCTCACTAACAAATTTTGGCGAAATTTTAACCGTTTATCGAAAAATCGTCGAATTCGAACTTGACCGAGATCTTATTAAATAAAATGCTCAGACCAAGTTTCATCAAAATCAATTAAAATTGTAGCTTCTATTGTGCCCACAAAAAATTTTCAAGTCAAGGGCAATAACTCAAAAACTGTTCATCAAAAATCATCTAAATCAGACGAAAACTGTAGTCTTTGTTGTGCCAACAAGAATAGACTCGAACCGACGGACAGGGGCAACAACAATTTACGACCCATATGTGGGGGTATAAAACGGCGTGCAGGACATGTTAACAAGAAAAGCACAAGGTGCAAAACTTTTATATATTAATTTTTTTTTATTTCCGACGTACAATTAAATGCAAATTAGATTATTTATAATATTTATAATCAATTTAGACAAAATATTGAGGAAAAAGACACAATTGAAGGATCGAACTTCTGTAACTGCAAATAAATTGGACGAAGGGTTTGAAGTAGAAGTTTTACAAGTAGTAGGCATACAAGAAGAAAGGGGGTTTACAGGGACAATGTTTACATTTAGAAGATTTACAAGTAGAAGGTTTACAATTAGAGGATTTACAAGAAGAAGGTTTACAAGTAGTAGGTTTGCAAAGAGACGGTTCATAAATAGAGGGTTTACAAGGAGATGGTTCATAAATAGAAGGTTTACAAATGTAAGAAGTTTGCAAGTTCACAAGTAAGATGTTAACAAGTGGGAAGCATACATGGAAAAGGTTTAAATAAAGAAGGTTTATAAGGAAACGTTTTACAAGTAGGATGTTAACAAGGAGAATGTTTACAGGCAGGACTAGTAGGGGGTTTAACAACTGGGAGGCATACATGGAAAAGGTTTAAATAAAGAAGGTTTATAAGGAAAGGTTTTACAAGCAGGAGGTATACAAGGAGAAAGTTTACAGGTAGGACTAGTAGGGGGTTTAACAACTGGGAGGCATACATGGAAAAGGTTTAAATGTAGAGGAAAAGGAAAAGTTTTACAAGTAGGAGGTATACAAAGTAAAGATTTAGTTGAAACCTTCAGAATAAAGGTGGGAATAGACGGTGTACGGTGTCCGGTGCGGTGTGTGGTGTACGGTGCGGGATTATCGATACAATAGAAAATAGTAGCAGAGAATCGTGTTCTACTGTATCGATCACTGCACCGTACCTTAAGTAAGAGACATACTCCTTGTTAT